AAAAAAAAAAAAAAAAAAAGTTTAACCTCAATTAAAGAAAAAACCAATATAAAGCAGATATGACAAAAAGGACAAAGATGAAAACTAATTTCAATTCCATGTTGATATCTAAAGAAATCTAACATTTTTTCAGGGTTTTGGTTAAAATGGGACAGAAATAATATTAAGAACAGGAAGACAAGGCAGGGTGGAAAACAATGTAAATGGGAGGGCAGTGAGGATGGTGAATTAGGCACATTTAGAATCAATATCCGGGGGAAATTCAGTTCTCAAAGTACAACATTTTTCAAAAATACATTTAACTAATTACTGTAAATAAACCAATTTTACTAAAAGTAATCTGAGAGGAGGTTTTAGATAGTCTTAGAATTGCACACTTGTTAAATGCTTACTTAACCTATGATCAAAGCAGAATTAATACATATGAAGACAAAAACTTCAGTTGGCTGATTCTGAGCTGGATATATGCCATGACTATGAATGGCCATCATTCATTTCTATGGAATCACTACATTAACTCATAGATGAAATCACTTAATGCATCTAGCAGCTATAAAAACTTCCCTGGAAAGAGAAAAAAGCTCTAACATTTCAGTGTCATAGTCTGAACTGTGTTTTCCCAAAATTCACATGCTGAATATTCCCAATGTGTGACTATCAAGTTGTTGCTTGTATCCATGGGTGGCTGACTCCAATAAAAGGTCACATTTCCCAGGGATATCAAAATCTGTGGATGCTCAAGCCCCTTATATAAAATGGTGCAGTATTTGTAGTACTTGCATTCATCCTACAAACATCCTCTAATATACTTCAAATCATCTCTAGATTTTTTTCACAATATTTAATACAATGTACATGGTATGTAAATAGTGATCACACACATTGCTTAGGGAGTGATAACAAGAAAAAACTCTGTACAGGATGAGTACAGTTCTTTTTCTCAAATATTTTTTATCTGTGGTTGGTTAAGCCCCGTTTGCAAAACCCACAGTTGTGAAGGGCTGACTGTATCTGAGATAGGATCTTTAAGGAGACACTTAAGGTTAAATGAGGTCCCTAAGAGTGGGGTCCATGTTCTAAGGGGAAGAGACACCAGAGATTTCTTTCTGGAAGAGTACACAGAAGAAAGGCCAGTGCAGTCATAGTGAGAAGACCTACAAAGTCAGGGAAAAAATCTTCGCCAGAAAACAACCCTAGTGACATCCTTACCTTGGACTTTTAGCCTCCATAACTGTGAGAAATTTCTGTAGGTGAAGCCATGCAGTCTGTGGTATTTTACTATGGCAGCCTCAGCAGTTTAAATGCTTACTTTATTAAACTAATGTCAAAGTACAATTGAGATACATAAAACCCACACACAGCTGCTTCTGAAGTAGGTATATGTCGTTACTACAGAATAATTACCAATTTCCACAGAAGTTAATAAATCACATCACATAGGAAACCATCAAGTGAATTTATCAGCTATTAAAATTAAGAACTTCCTGATGGGGAGAGGACCCTTAACACCATCAGTAAGGAGGCAAACGTGTTATGATGCACTGTGAAGGGTACAATTATCATCTCTGAGAAATTCCTGCTGAAAGTATATAACCTAAATCTAATCATGAAGAAACTCATAATGAAGAAAAATCTAAAAATATCTAACCTTGGGCTGGGGATTTAGCTCAATGGTTCTGCCACCTGCCTCATAAGCACAAGGTCCCGAGTTCGATCCTGCTCCACACACACACACACACACACACACACACACACACACACACACAAATCTAGCCTCTATTCTTTAAAACAATGCCAGTCGTGAAAACCTAAAGGAGACTAGAAAGGTATGACAATATAGGATCCTGGATCGGATTCCAAAATAGGACTTTTCAAGTATTGTTTTACTTTTTGGGTTGAAAGGACTTTAGTACTGGATTAATGTCAATTTTCTGGTTTTGCTAACTATGCTATATTGAGATTATGTGAAGAGTGGGGATATGGATAGAAATGTATGAGTTTATCCTTCATTACTAAAACAAAATACCTAATACAGAGTAACTTTACAAAAAAGAAGTTTGTTTAGCTCATAGTTTTAGAAGATGAAAAGTCCAAGATGGGGTGGCCCTGTTGGTTTGGCCTTGGTAAGGGCCTAACAGAGGATGGCACCATGGCAGGAGTGTGTGCGAGAGACACATTCAGACAGGAAGACCAAGGAAAGCACAGGGGTCAGGCTCAGGTTCTCACAACAGGTCGGAACTGATTCAGGGCTCCATAAGAACTACCTGAACTGTTTCACAGGGCAAGTTCCTAGTGGACTTTCTAAGGACTTCCTGCTAGGTCCTTCCACCTCCATATCACCAAACCTAGCCCATGCCTCCAACACTTGAGCCTGGGAGAATAAATGATATCCACACCATAGCAATGTTAGGGTAAAGAGACATCATATGTGTAATTACTTCTCAGGAGTAACACACACACACACACAAACACACACACACACATGCATGCATGTTGTGTACAGACATGTACAGAATAAAGCAAATGTCATAAAATGAAATGAATGGATAAACAAAATGTAGTATGCAGTACACAAAAAAATGGAGTATTATTCAGCCTTAGAAAGGATGGCAGTCTGCTACATGCTGTAACATGGGAGTCCCTAAGATAACAGTACTATACTAAGTGAAACAAGCAACCACAAAAAGACAGCTATTATTTGACTACACTAATAAAAGTACCCAGAGTAGTAAAACTCACAGGTGGGAGTGGGGGTTGCCAAGGAATGAAGTGGGGTACAAGTTAGTGTTTAATGGATTTCAGCGGAGGAAATTGAAAAGTTCTAGAGAGGGTTAGCGGGGATGGCTGCAGAACAAAATTGTACTTGATGCTGCAGCACTGTACATAAAGTATGTTTTATGCTGCATTTATTTTATCACAATTTAAAATAATGTACAAAAAAATCAAACCCACACACAAACTATCAATATCCCTACGAATTTCGACCCAAAAATCCCTAACAAGCCAGCAAACTGAATCCAAACACATATAAAAAGGACACAATGATGAAGCAGAATTTATTCCACGATTAAAACGCTGGTTTAGGATACAAAAG